TTGCAGGAGACGCGGGTTCGTGCCCCGTTTCGGGAAGATCCCACATGCCGCGGAGCGGCTGGGCCCGTGAGCCATGGCCGCTGAGCCTGCGCGTCCGGAGCCTGTGCTCCGCAAATGGGAGAGGCCACAACAGTGAGAGGCCCGCATAACGCAAAAAAAAAAAAAAAAAAAAAAAAAAAAAAGATGCTCAAAAAATAAAGTGAATGCATAATAACAAATACCTTGTTACACCCATTAAATTTAACCCCCAAATTAAATATGATTATAATGAACCTTGGCAAGGATAATCAACAATAAGATTATTTCTTGCTCATTGTTGGTGGAATGGAAATTGATCCAACAATCTTGGGAAAAATTTGCTATTATAAAGTAGAGTTTAAGATATGCATGCCCTATACTCTGGCCATGTCTCTCCTAAGCATATACCATAGAGAAATTCTTCCACATGTGCCACAGAGATATGTACAAGAACATTCTTAGCAGAACTGTTCATACTAGCAAAAAGTAGAAATAAAATGTCCACCTAGAGCAGAAAAGATAAATTATAATATATTCATATAACGCCTTACTATATAGCAGTGAAATGAACAAACTATTACATGACAAACCCACAAATAATGTTTAGTGAAAACAAGCAGGGCAAAATGGTATAAACAGTGTAATTCTGTAATTTATATAAAGTTCAAAAATAAAGTGAAATAATACGTTGTTAAGAATGTATAAGATATATGTAATATAACTATAGAGAAACATAAGGCATAATAAATAAATAAATAAATACAAAATTTAGAATAGTGGTTAATGGTAAAGGGATGTAACAGAGTGAATGGGATGGGACCAGGAAAGGCACACTGGATGTTTCAAAGGTATCAGTAATTATATGATCACGGATGACGGTTTCATTGAGTTTCTATACCAACAGTTCTCAGTGCTGGCTAAATTAGCCGTTAAAACTACCAATGCCCAAGCCCTACGTCATATCAATTTAATCAGAAACCCTCAGGGTGGAGTTTAAGCATCAGTACTTTTTATAAAGTGCCTTCCACACTTTCCATCCAGTGATTCTAATGAGCAGCTAGGGGTGAGAACTACTGCTTTACCCCTTACTCACCTATTAGGCATACATTTTGATGTGTCTTTTTATACAGTTTCCATTAAAAATCTCACAAAATTGCAGTAGTTACTTCCTCTAGTATAGTGTCAAATGGCAGTCAGGTTTATAAGAAAATCAATTAACTTTAAAACTACCATGAGGGCTTCCCTGGTGGCGCAGTGGTTTAGAGTCCGCCTGCCGATGCAGGGGACACGGGTTTGTGCCCTGGTCCGGGAAGATCCCACGTGCCACGGAGCGGCTAGGCCCGTGAACCATGGCCGCTGAGCCTGCGCGTCTGGAGCCTGTGCTCCGCAACGGGAGAGGCCACAACAGTGAGAGGCCCGCGTACCACAAAAAAAACAAACAAACAAACAAAAAAAACTACCATGAAATGGATATCTGTCTTAGGATAGTTGATCAAGTAAAAATAAATTTTATAAACTTCTATTTCTTCAACTGTTTCTCAATTCACATTTAAAGAGCTAATAAAATAATTTTTACCGTTTAATAGTTGATACTTTCAATTATGTACTTACACTGAAAGGCTTATTTTTTTTCCAGTAATAGAGTTTTTTTTTACAATATAAGTATTTTCTCACCAGTTTTACTACTGCCAAATAATTTACTCAAATTTTTCCCCTCCACGACTTCTTACTTACCCTGAGCAAGTCATCTATACGACCTTCCTTTTTTTCCAGGTCCTGGTTTTTATTACTTTCTAATGCTGCTAACTTCTGCATTGTAAGGTCAGTCTAAACGAAAGAAAGCTATTTTATTACTCCATTATATATATATCACTGCATGCAAACATAAAATTAGATTTTACTCTGATTCTAAGAGCAAAGAAAGTATTGGAGTTTGTGTGTGTATGTAAAGAGTATCACAAAAAGTCTTACTGCAGTTTTAAGTTTTAATATCTTCAGAAGCATAAGTGCTATAAACTTAAAAAGAAAAACTTTTAAGGTTAATTATTTAAATTTTTAGAATATTGATAATTTCTTCATTAAAATTCAATATAACCACTGCTTTGTGCTATCAACTCTAGCTGACTTTTGAATACGGCAAAAACTTTCACAAGCTGTTTGCTGACTGAAAGCAATGTACTTATAAATCCTGGCCTAAAGATCATCCAAAGAAAGAAGTTTTGATGCACGCACAACAGTTTGGACATGACCAGAAAGAAGAAGTATAATGGCAATAAACTGCACAACTAAGGTGGCAAGCCAGAAGATCTACTTTTTCAATCCTTAATCTCAGTCATCCAAAAACTGTCACATGTATGAAATTAAAACCTTAGTACTCAAAATTCATAAAACTAAATAACTGTAAAAGATATCTGATTAATTTTCAAATGATTTTTAAGTGTGTAGCATATATGAATATACAAAAATACAGACACATGGAACAAACTGCTTTAATGTCCACTTACAACAAATATAACACTTTCATGAAGATATCGATTATATGTACTTGGATGTTAAGTTCAAAAAGAATCAGTAAACAGAATTGACATGTTATGGTTGTTCTGTTTATTTAATTTGCTTAAAATATATATTTAACCAGTGTGTAACAAAGGACAAGCTGATAGTAAATTGGGTGTTTCAACTTCTCACCCCCTACAAACTGTTTTTTTTTTGTTTGTTTAGTAATTAGCTTCTTTGATACAGAATTTTACTTTATGACCATGTCTAAAACAAAGAGAAGCCATCTTAATTGTGTGTACAAAGTTGGTCACCGGCTTCTCAGAAGTCATACAAAGAAATTTTAATTACCATTTACCTGAGTAATTTTAAAGGATAACTGCTTTGGTTGTATAATAGGGTGGTCCCCAAAAACTAATGCAGTAGGAGAAGGGCTATTCGGTCGAACCTTAAAAAAAATATTAAAAATTTTATATTAGCAAGAAAAAAATAGGCTTTTGCTTAGCAACAACTAAACATTTCTTAAGTTTTTATCAGGATAATAATTCAAAACATAATTGGGGACTTCCCTGGTGGCACAGTGGTTAAGAATCCGCCTGCCAATGCAGGGGACACGGGTTAGAGCCCTGGTCCGGGAAGATCCCACATGCCACAGAGCAACTAAGCCTGTGCGCCACAACTACTGAGCCTGTGAGCCACAGCTGCTGAGCCCACGTGCCACAGCTACTGAAGCCCGCACGCCTAGAGCTCGTGCTCTGCAACAAGAGAAGCCACTGCAATGAGAAGCCTGCGCACTACAACAAAGAGTAGCCCCTGCTCACCGCAACTAGAGAAAGCCCACGCGCAGCAACGAAGACCTAACGCAGCCAAAAATAAATAAATTTATTTAAAAAAAATCAAGAATTAAAAAAAACATAACTGAACTTAAAAAATTTTTAATCACCATTTATTCAATAAGCATTCATTAAGTACCTCCCTCTTATAAAGCCCAATAAAAGAGACAACCAGCCATATATGCCATGCCCTCAAGGAACTTAACAATCTGGTGCCATAAAGGCAAATTTAATGCTTTCAATCTGTTAACTAAAACAAGGCCAAATACATTATTTTAAAACAAAAATATTAAACAGATTATAATGGTTCAAAAAGTAAAATTGTAAAGACCTTAATACAGAACTCTTTTAGTAGTGGGTACAATAATGCATGCCCATATGTAGTATAATATCAATTTACTGATAAGTTTCATGGTTTATCTAGTCACTGGTTTTAAAATACATTCACTGAAAGCAAAATATTACATCATGTACCAATGCTATCACTACAACTCAAAGTTATTGTTGAGTCTTATGCTTTACTTAGTATATGGCAATATGATGTGCCCCAAGGTACAAAATGAATAAGACATTAAGAAGTATATGTCTACAGAAAGAACTAGAAAGGGACACTGGAAGTAAAAACAGAGTACTTGAATAAATAAGAGATACTGTGATTTTTTAAAATTTTAAATTCATCTTTAAATTACTGAAAGCCAACATTGTTTTTCTGGTTAGACAATGAACTTTCACATAATGAAAGTAAAAAAAAAATAGAATAAAATCTAATATGTAGAAAAATGCATATAAAAGAACTAGGTCTTAAAAATGTTAGAAACAAACCAAAAAGTTGTAAGACAATTTTCAGGTCCAACATCCTTCTCCTATGCCAAACTACATTATCCGAGGCTGATGGCTGCCTACTCTTTATTTCAGGATTCCCAGAAAGGAATTAATTATGCTACCATTTTAGTGGTTAAGAAATTTAATTGTTAAATTCCCTGACTAGGGATCAAACTCGGGCCCCAGCAATGAAAGTGCCAAGTCCTAACCACTGGACAGCCAGGGAATTCCTGGTCCCATCATTCTTTTATAGAAACATTACTTCTTTGGGGAATAAATTCCCCCAAAGCGAAAAACACGTCTTATAATTTCAGGAAATCTTTAACTTTAGAATCTTACTTTCAGAAATAAAGTTCTAATAGCATCAAATCATTAAAAAGAATTCAACTCATCTCACAGAACGATTTTTTTAAAGATAAACGCTGATATATGTAAAAGGTCTCAATAAAGACAAATTATAAAAGTTATCATTCAGTACACAAAAACTCTGAGACACAAAGACTACATATGTAAAAACTTACAGATGAGGAAGGAGTGGAATGTGAATGTGAATTCTGAGGAGAACGGATTGCAGGAGGTATGCCTCTTACTGGACTTGAGCCATTTCCACCTTGGTACTGAGGGAAAAAGGAAACATCACTATTTATTAACACAGGTTTAGACAAATATTATTTTAGATATGACATTATGAATTAATTTAAATATATCTTATTGTTATTTTTGTGGCAGACTCAAAGACAAATTCCTCCAAAGCAAAGAACAAGTCTTATTTTTGCTTCAAATTTTAGCACAGTCCCCTTATGTTTGTTAAACCAGTATGATCCCTAATCCCAAGAAACTTTAACATGTTCACATGTAGATGTTAGTGAACATAATCAACTATCTTAAAACAGAGCTGTCAGTCCCAAGATCTATTAAGTATCCGAATGTTCATAGCACTATAAAAGAACTATATAAACTAAGTCCCTTCTTTTTAATAGCACAAAGTCTAATAAAAATCAATCCTTTCTTACATGCATAACATGCATTATAGTGCATGACTTAACTGCATACGAAGAGAAGCCAACCTAATCTGTTCCATAGCTTTCTCAAGTCTCATGCTTCTGAACCAAGAATGGAAGGAGAAAACAATTTGCTGCTAATGGCTTCATCTCAGGGTATATGTATGAACAGCAGAGATGGGGACTTCCTAGTGTGTTCATTAAACAGCTTCCTGCAACCTAGGAGCTTTGTCTAAATTTCTTATCTATAGTGCCTAGCGTAACACTTAGCACACAGTAGGCATCCAAGACACCTGAGATTTGATCCTACCTTTGGCAAAGATTTTTAATGATATTAACACTAAGGGACTGACATCAACTAAAGAGCATTAGGTGTATCTTATAGTCTGCAAAAGTTTTAGCTTAGACACTGTAAACTCAAGAAAAAAAAACAATGGAGGATAAAAAATATATATATATTTTAAACACGGCCCTTCTCCTAATCACCAAATTCTGCTCTCTCTCAAGGAAATATAAATATTTTTCAACTGAGTAGATCATGTTTGTTTTAATAATCACATTAATATTTCATAATGAAAACTGGTAGGCAGAAGTGTTTCTGTATAGAAGAAAGGAAACATTCCAGACTAAATTTAAATTTACCACTGTTTATTATTTTCAGGGACTCTTAGATTCACATCTCTATCATTATTTAATCTCCATCCACAGGGCTCAACTGTTGCTGTGGTACTGACATCAGAAAGAATTCTAGAGGCTGGGAGACTTACAGCTACTCTTTGCTCTTCCATTTAGAATTTGCCTTTACGTAGGCTACTTTATATCTCTGGCTCTCAGTTTCCTCATCTGTAAAATAGGAATACTAATAACACCTGCTGTGACTACCTCCTGGATATAAGCAAATACAGGAGAAAGTACTTTGAAAATTATGATGTGCCATACCCAAGTAAAAGTAAAGTTTAATATTTCTAAGAAGTCAGGACATCACATAGTACTGAAGTTCTGCTCTAATTAAGCAGATAATCAAAAGTTGACTTTGTGCTTCAAACAAATTATTTCAGCCCATAGCAAAATTATATTAAGAACTGAAGATATTTCTCAATGAACTTACTTCAAAATAGTCGCTAATTTTGTGGCCACGTCCCCCAATACTTTTTCCTAAAATACAGAAGTAAAAAATTTTATAGATTTAAAGTCAGTCATGACTATCTACCACATACTATATTAGAAAGAGAATGTGCCAAACTTAATTTCCCTAATACACACAAAAATAATCTATTTAATAAAAAGAATATATTTTAGTTGGGTAGTGATGGGCATCAAAAGAATATTAAGAGCCCTCAGAGGGTCAGATGCCGACTTCAGGATTCCAAAAATCAAATGATATTTCAATAGATACATGTCAATTTTTAAAAGTCCTGATTATGGGAGAATCAAATAAATAAATCATATTAAAAGATCTCTGCTTTTAAAACTACACTATTCAGATTGCTTAATGGCTAATAATTTCATAAAAACATGTCAATTAATTAAAAAAAGACAGCTGTATAATTGACAAACCAATTCATACCTGTAAATAATGATAAAAAAGCTTGGTCAGCACAAACCATAACAAACTGACAATAACATGCTTTAATATGAATGCTATTTTGTAAAATGTTTTGATTTTCTAAAAAGTATTTCCAAATTAATAGGATTTTTAAAAAAATAATCTAGATTTTAAATATTGTCCTTATATGACCATATTGATAGTGATCCAAATTATTACAGATCACAGTTCTTTAATTAAAAGTTTTGCTCTAAAATGGACTTTTCAAAAAAAAAAAAAAAAGACAAATAACAAAGAAACAAAATGGAATTTTCATTAGTTTCATAAATCTTGAAGTTGCTAAGAAGTTGCTAAGAAATATGGCGTTTTGGATGGGAGGCATCCATCCTTCACTGGAATTACACTGAATAATTTCTTCAAGCTACAAAAGAAAAACTTATGATACCATGGAGTCAAAAGCTTTGGATAATATATAAACATATACATTTATCAATTCAATACTGACTTATATACATTCATTCACTTATTTTATTCAACAAATATTTCTTGAGTGGTTACTATGTGCCAGGCATTACTGACATAAACAAACAATACATTGAAAAGTTCAACAACCTCAAATTCCTTCTTGGAACAAGGTAGGGGGAAATTTTTTTTAAACTAATAAGTAATCAGGACTATAAATACTACCTAGAAATTTTGAACACTAGTTTTGTACAGATTTATTCAGAGGTCAGGGAGCACTATAAAAGTTTTATACCAAAGAACTTCCCTTCTGCCTGTAACAACTTTCCTGCAGATTCTGAAGAGGTGCTATTTTTTAATGAAGACAGAGACATTTTTTCGTTGCCTACCCAGAAACTATTTCCCCAGTTTTTTTTCCCTAATTGAATCCAAGTTTTATTCTGTTAACATTCCCTCCCCTACATAGCACATGTAACTTCAGGAGAGGCTGACTCCTATCTGGCCTCCGTTCCTAGTTCCCCTTCCTTCCTTCGGATTAGAAATACAATTTTGTTCAGGTATCATGCCTTTTCCACACAACCTGTACTTCTAAATGGAACTTTACCCCATTTTCATTTTCAGAGATGGGCCTGATTTTTTAAAAAAAATATTTATTTATTTATTTGGTTGCATCGGGTCTTAGTTGCAGCAGGTGGACTCCTTAGTTGTGGCATGCAAACTCTTGTTGCGGCATGCATGTGGGACTTAGTTCCTTAACCAGGGATCGAACCCAGGCCCCCTGCATTGGCAAGCATGGAGTCTTAACCACTGCGCCCCCAGGGAAGTCCCGAGATGGGCCTGATTTTAAGGGCAATAATACCTCTCTTGGACATAACTGGTTTTGGAATGGACACATGACCCTATTCTGGCCAAGAAGATGACAGGAGAGGTTTGCTATGGACTTAAAGAAGCCTACATCAAAGAAACAAGGAAAAAAGAAAAACACAGAAAACCAGCCTCTCTCTAAAGCAAATACAAGTGTGGAAGATGAAATGAGGAAATGCAATTAAAACTGGCCACAGTCCTAAAACCATAAGAGAAAAGCAAACAATTCTGTGGATGGCAGACCACAAAGAAAAAGATGTGGCTTCTTAACGACACAGGTTGGATCAACCAACCCAGAAGTCCCAGGTTATTTTGGGACCTGCTTTTAAAAGTGAGTTTTAAAATCTGAAGTTAAATCTATCATAACTAATATAACTAAATAAATCCAAGCCCACTAACCACAACTTGGGGAAACTACACTAAGAGCAAAAAAGACCTCAGGGCAGATTGAAATACAAAGTACCACAAACTTAGAGAAAGGTGCTAGAGTGACTCAACTCCCTCCTTCCACAAAGATAGCTGCTGCAAATATATTTCTTCATGCCAGTGCCACATGTAAACACTAGTAAGCCATGGGTTCATGGCTCTAGATTTTGTGGCTCCAAAACATGTAATGTATGTATAAAATCATCATTACATATGATTTAAGAGCCCAATTTATTGTATTTAATTTTGAGAAGCCAAATTAAATGACAATACTATCTTGTCCATTATAAGAAGTTGTGTAATCTAATGAAAGTAATTTTCTTATAGTTTATAATACAAAATGTAAGTATGAAAGAAAGGATGAAGAACAGGTATGGAAAGAAAGAGATGGTGCTTTAATGAAGTACTTCAATCATTTTTATATACTCTTTTTTTTTTAAATAAAAGGGATGAGTAAGTTTGGGTACTTGTCTAAAAGTAAGATATAAAGTTCTTATTCAAAAATGAGAAGCCATTTCAATACCATAATTCATATAGAGAGAAAACAGAAAGGTGATAAAGGCAATGCTTGTCAGGTTTGGACATGACACTTTTCTTTCTAATTCTCAAATTAAAAAAATAAGGGAAATGTCAAAAGCCTAAAAACAGTAACCATAAACTACCTGTGGTACAAAAAGATTCCAATTTCATATAATTATTATTTCTTACGCAAAGTACATTCCTAAACTATTAATGCAGAAATTACATGGTATCTATAGAAATCACAAAAACACACTACTTTTTAAAAAAATTATTAATTGATTAAAAACCAGAATAATTAATCGTAAATGCCTCTTCGGCTCTGAAGGAAGATTTTGCTTCACTTACCCTGACTACTTTCATTCTGATTTTCTGCTTTTCTCTTTCTTCCTCTGGATGATTCCGATTGTTTCTTCTCTGGTGTCTACAGAAAGCAAGTTAAAAGAACTTTAAATTATAGTTTTAACAGGCAAAATTTTACAATCACTATAAATGTCATTTTTATTTTCGAGGTAAAAAATTTTGCTCAACAGCGTTCATGCAATGTAAACATGTAATTACTTACATACAATTTATTTAAAAGATAAAATTTCCTATTGTGTAATTTTTTTTTTTTTTTGTGGTACGTGGGCCTCTCACTGTTGTGGCGTCTCCCATTGCGGAGCACAGGCTCCAGACGCGCAGGCTCAGCGGCCATGTCTCACAGGCCCAGCCGCTCCGCGGCATGTGGGATCTTCCTGGACTGGGGCACAAACCCGTGTCCCCTGCATCGGCAGGCGGACTCTCAACCACTGCGCCACCAGGGAAGCCCCCTATTGTGTAAATTTTTAAAATCTGAAGTGTAGGAGACCTGGTACACATTACCTGAAATTTACATTTACAGAATTTGACTTGAGGTGGATGAGAAATCTGAGAGTAATCAGCCTTTAAAAGATGCCCTTCAAATTCTTAACTGGATAGGGAAAAAAAAAAAAAGCCCACAAAATAACAAAGCACCGTATGCTTTTCCCATTAGTTTTCTACTATTCATATATATTCTATAGAAGTAAAATAAACTTGGGCTAGAAAAAAAGAGCAGAACACAAACCTTAATATATACAATCCCTACTAAAAAGAACCATTCACCTAAATGCCTAAAAATTATTATCCAACAACAGTCAAAGCAAATTCATAGATTATATCCTAAATCAGGTGTCTGCAAACTATAGCCAGATGGCCAAATCTGTCTGGCCACCTGTTTTTGCAGGGCCCATAATCTAAGCATGAATTTTACATTTTTAAATGTTTGAAAAATATAAAAACCAAACAAGAGTATTTCATGATATGAAAACTATAAGAAATTCAAATTTCAGTGTCCATAAATTTGGTTCTATTGGAACAGTCACACTCATTCATTTATGTACTGTCTCTAGTTCCTTTCACACTACAGCAGCAGAGTTGAGTAGCTGTAACACAAACTGCATGGCCCATGAAGCCTAAATACCTGGCCCTTTACAAAAAAAAAGTTTGCAGAGCCCTGTCCTATGTGATGGCTTGTTCTTAAATTACAGGTTTGCTCTTTTAACTGATAGGAAGTTATTTCCATCAGGTTAAAACAACAAGTAATTTTTGTGCAGTCTGACAGAATGCTGTGCTTAGTGAAAAATTAAAACCAAATGTGCACAAGGCAATGGCACAGGGCCCTCAAATTCTAGAAGCTTGGCAAGTATGTCTGGTGCCAGAACAAAGGATATCTGAATGAATGAAACATCAAGGCAACTTAAAATAAATCTCTAAAGGCAACGTAGTCCTCCAACAAGGAAGGGACTTAATCCGTATTGTGATGTCTCTTGTAAGTAGTTCTGTGATTAAATAGTATGAATGACAATATACAACCTAACTCATACTGAGCATCTATGGCTCCCCAAAGTATTATCTGGGGAATTTTAAGTTCTCTCACTGACATTCTGCCAACAAGATAACAGATTCAGAGAGGTTTAAATGAATGTTACTAATCTCTGAATTCTTTAAAGACAGAAGTTATATTTTCTCCCCACCTCCATACCCAGCATGATAAATAACAAATATTAAATAACTTACTCAAGGTAACTAGGATTCAAATCAAATTCAATTCTGTGTATTTCCAAGGCCTAAATGCTTTTTTCCCCTTCTATGTGTCATGATTATATATCCTACATCAAGAAGTAACTGAATGAATCAACCATACAAAAATACTTCAAATTTTCATTAAGTTCATAAATAAAATTCATTATGTCCAATAAACTGCCTATATGTTTTCACATCGTAAACCAGAGACCTTAAAGAAATCCACTCTAACTAGCAATCTACTCAGGAGACAGACTGACATACCGCAATTTAAGGTAAATAGTTCATTAGTTTAGTTTCATACTCAAAATTACCAAACTCAGACTTAAGTGGTAACCAATCTGTTATTCTTCTTGGAATAAAAGTATCACCAAATTAAAAATTCTAAGTTAACAGTTTTATAAAGAACCCTATAATCTATCTTAAAACAAAGGAGGGGACTTCCCTGGTGGCGCACTTGTTAGGAATCCGCCTGCCAATGCAGGGGACACGGGTTTGGTCCCTGGTCCGGGAAGATCCCACATGCTGTGGAGCAACTACTGTGCACAACTACTGAGGCTGCGCTCTAGAGCTCGCAAGCCACAACTACAGAAGCCCGCGTGCCCTAGAGCCCGCATGCTGCCAACTACCGAGCCTGCGCACCTAGAGCCTGTGCTCCACAACAAGAGAAGACCACCGAAATGAGAAGCCCGGGCACCGCAATGAGGAGTAGCCCCCACTCGCTGCAACTAGAGAAAGCTCATGAGCAGCAACAAAGACCCAACGCAACCAAAAATAAATAACGTTTTTTTTAAATTAAAAAAAATAAAACAAAGGAAGAACTCCCCCCAAATAATTTATTCATATCTTTCCCAAATTAATCTACGTAAAAAATATAATTTAAGGTCAAGGAAATATGGTTTTTCAGAACAGTTTTAATGGTATACTAATTTTAAAGCATGGCACAATCCTTTTGGATTTCCATCTTAAATCCTGACTAGCTTCTTTGAATAAGTAAAACAAAAAACTAAACAGAATAATAAAATTCTGAAAGCTATATTGGAAACAACATTTTCTATCTAGAAAACTAAAGAATATATAATGTTGTAAATGGTTCCATACCATTTTCTAAAGTATATTCCAAGGAACACTGGATCAGGGATAGATTGAGAGGTTACATTTTAAAATGGAAGGTATAGTAGGGTGGTTCAACTGGGGGTGAATAAAGTTAGATTTATTTACCACAAAGCTTCTAAGAACCATTAAAATACTAGCATTCACTGGCTATCTCCAAAAGGGGGATGGGATGCAAAGATACAGTATATGTGGCAATTCTCAAACTTATTTGGGATAATGTTCATTAAATACTTTACTGGATATAGACTTCAAGATATTTAAGGTCTTTTTTATTTTCATTTTTTAAAAACATATATGGTAACTTAGTAAAAACTTTTTCTCCAAGGCAAAATTTCCCTAAATTTAAAATTTTCTGGAATGGGGACGTGAGACAGTCTTTTGGGGGAAATGTCATTTTGTTTAGAACAAACTAACAAACCCCCCAAATGCATAATGATTACAGTGAAGAAAAAAAGGCAACAGGCTTCCCTCTTTTAAACCAGAGAAGAATTTGAGGAAGGAAGATGAAGAGAAAAAGGAAGATGAAGGAAAAAAAGGACGACAGGACTAAAATTAATTTTAAGACTGTAATCTGGGCTTCCCTGGTGGCGCAGTGGTTGAGAGTCCACCTGCCGATGCAGGGGACACGGGTTCGTGCCGCGGTCCGGGAAGATCCCACATGCCGCGGAGCGGCTGGGCCCGTGAGCCATGGCCACTGGGCCTGCGCGTCCAGAGCCTGTGCTCCGCAACGGGAGAGGCCACAACAGTGAGAGGCCCGAGTAACCCCCGCCCCACCCCCGCCAAAAAAAAGACTGTAATCTGGGCTTCCCTGGTGTCGCAGTGGTTGAGAGTCCGCCTGCCGATACAGGGGATGCGGGTTCGTGCCCGGGTTGGGGAAGATCCCACATGCCGCGGAGTGGCTGCGCCTGTGAGCCATGGCCGCTGAGCCTGCGCGTCCGGAGCCTGTTGCTCCGCAACGGGAGAGGCCACAACAGTGAGAGGCCCGCGTGCCGCAAAAAAAAAAAAAAAAAAAAAACTGTATTCTAACACTAATACGAGTAAGAAGTTGGAAATAGCTAATAAAAAACTGAAAAGTTGAACAAAGCAAAAGATAAGAAAGGGAAACCTAGATATACTTGATTTGCCTATACAGTAAATGTAGGCATTATAAACACACCATTTTGCCTTCCCATGAACTTTAATCTTTTTTCACTCACATCCTACCTAGTGTGACTACCTCATGCTGACCTTTGACTTCATTCTCATCTCATAGATTATTTTAGGGCTGTTCTGTCAGCCTCAATGGACCATAATTTCCTCAGAAGAATGTACCATGAGTCTCTGAAAAAACACAGACTAAGAATCCAACTCTGGGTCCACTATTTACTATAATTTTCAGTATGTTACTTAACCCAAGACTCAATTTTCTCATCAATTTTAAAGGTGATAAAATGGCCTAAAAGGATTGTGAGGATTAAATGAGAAACATACCAGAAACATAAGTAGTATAGCATCTACAACAATGTATAGTCTATATCAGTAAGCTATTCTTATCTGAATGGCTATCCTTCTATTACTCCAAATAATCCGCGCACTTTCATGTTTCAAAACTTCAATCACGTATCATTTGTTAAATAATTAGCAGCTTCTGCCCTAACAGTTTACAAATAACTTGTAGGGTTTGCAAAATAAGCAATATTTCAACTCTGATCTCAACCATAAGCCACAGAACTTATAGTCTAGGCCCTATGTATTACATCACTCACCCTAAGACAAATGTACTTTAAACAGTTTTTTTGGTTTTGAATTTAAATGATCTGAGCAACACCTGTATTAAACAATACAAAAACTCTCAATGAAGCCTAATGCTGCCAATTCTCCTAAGACATCCTTTGTGTATGGACTTATTTGGGGATTTAAAAGCTTGAGGATTTAGGGTAGGCAGAAACTCATCAAATATTTAACCTCTAAAATGGCTCATCACTGAGAAGAAAAAGTTCAGAATACTATCTGTGACTTTCAAATTGTACTCCAGAGACACCTTAGGGGAGAGAAGGTTGTGTCTCCAAAGTTATTAAAGGGAAGGAAGGAGCAGGTGGCTGAGCTAAGGCTCTAGCCACCTGAGACACATCCTATCCCACCTCTACCCTATCCCTGGGAACACAGCATGTCTTATTTTAATATTGAGGTTCTATATCAGATTTCTTCAAAGAAAGAGCTTGATGGCTTCAAAAATGTTTGAAA